TGATGCCATGGCACCGCGCCCGCCCATGTCGCCGACTCGCGCTGAAGTGCCCGCTGGGATGTGCCGAGCGGTCAGCGCCATCGCGGCCGCGTCGGTCGCGCCAAACTGGCTGTCCGCTACGCGCGCGAGCGTGCGCGGGCTAGCACGGCCGTTGAGATGCACCTGCCAAGGCCGAGCACTCATGGGAAGCGCTTCCGCATGGGCTAGGCAAACCAAGCTGCGGGTGGGTGGGCGGGATGATTGCGCGAGCAGTGGAATCGACAACTTCATGTTCGGGAAGGTAAAGTCTTCCTTTTTCGTATAAAAACATTAGATTCCCCCCCTCCCCCCCGCCCGGGATTACCGGCCCCCTTTTCGCACTGCAATTTCCGTGCGATTCTGCCCCATCGTCCATCCTATCTATGCATTCGTATCATCCAAGCCCATCCGGCATCCCCCACGACCCGTCATCCTCTGGAAAAACCTACGCGCGCACGCTCGTTTATAAAAGGCCACAAGTTTCTGCGAATGCCTTGCAAGCAAAATGACGAAGTGCACGCTCGCGCGTCGTCGCGCGCTTACCGGAATTCATGCAAGCCCGTTGGTTTCGAAAAGATTTCAAACCGAGCGCCCAAACAACACATACACCGATTCTTCCGTGGCACGGAAATTTCCCCCAACAAAAAACGTGCGAGCGCTCTCTTGCGAATTCTGGAGGAAACCACATGTCGCCTCAACATTTCCAGAAGTATGCTACCAAACGGGCTTCGCGCGCGCGCATGCGTCGAAATCGTTCGAACGCCCTTGCGCGCGTGTCGTCGCGAGAACCCTTTGAACGAATGGGGCGAAGTGCCCGCGCGCGCGTCGTCGTGCGCGCGCGCCGAAATCCTTCAGAAACCTCCGGTTTCGCAGCGGATTCAAAACCGAGCGTCCAAAAACAACATGCACAAACGCATGGTTTCACAACATCAGTTTTTAAAGAAAGCTTGCGCGCGCTCTTGCGACTTCTTGGGAGTGCCATCGGTTCTTCAACATTGTCATGGAATTGTGCCAAACGGGCCTCTGGCGGCCGCGTGCCGACATCATTCGCGCGCCATCGGGCGCGTGCTGGGGGGGCGCGGTCCGTGTCAAATAAAACCATGCGGGCCGCTCTCGCGCGTCGGCCGCGAGCGCATGTCTAACTATTTCCAAGCTCTTCATCGCCAACGCGAAGACGCCGTCATCGTCGCCGGCGTGATCAGCATCCGCGCCCGCACTGGCCGCGCCTTCGTCGGTGCGAACATCGTCGCCAGCGTCGCCGCGACCATCATCGTGTCTAACGTTGTCGGCGTTGCCATGACACCGCGCCCACCTCATTCGCAGACTCGCAGTGAAGTGCCCGCTGGGATGCGCCGAGCGGTCAGCGCCACCGCGGCCGCGTTGGTGGCGCCAAACTAGCTGGCCGCTGCGCGTGCGTGCTAGGGTTGGCGCGGCCGCAGAGATGCACCAGCCAACGCCAAGCATGCATCGCACTCGTCACCGAATTGGTTTTGTAAACCAAGTTGCGGGTGGGTGGGTGGGATGTTTGCAAGAACGTGGGATGTGCCAACTCGTTTGTTAAAACCAATTTTCCTGTCAAACAAATGAATAAATAGGTTCTACTACCCTCCCACCCCCAGGGTTGAAGACCACCCCGGAACCGATGCAAAACACATCGGATTCGGACCCGCCGTCCATCCGACCTGTGAGTTCATACTATCTCAGTCGAACTGGTCTCGGCCCCCCCCGCCCTCCTCTGCAACAGTTACTATGCACGCGCACTCATTTATCAAATATCAAGAGTTTCCAAGAATCCCATGCACCAAAATTGGACGAAGTGCGCACACGCGCGTCGTCGCGCGTGCATGCCGGAATCCTTCAACAAGCGTTGGTTTCGGAAGGATTTCAAAATCGAGTTTCAAAAAAGAAAGACCAAAGGGTTTCGCAACACTGATTTGCGAAAAAAAGCTTACGCGCGCGCTCTTGCGAAATCTGAGGAAAACCATTTTTTTTCAAAAAAAAAAACATATATAAACATTTGCAGAAGTATACTGCCCAACGGGCTTCGCGCGCGCATGTCGAAATCGTTCGAACGCCCTTGCGCGCGTGCCGACGCAGACTCGATTTCAGAACCGAACGTCCAAAAAACATACAAAAACACATGGTTTCGCAACACGTATGTTCAGCAGAAACGTGCGCACGCGCTCTTGCGTCGTCGTCGTCGTCGTCGTCGTCGTCGTCTCTCCTCCCTCGTCGTCGTCGTCGTCGCGGTCGTCGTCCTCTGTCCTTCCTCGTCGTCGTCGTCGTCCTCTTTGGCGTCGTGGTCGTTTCCGTCGTCGTTGTCACCGTGGTCGTCCTCCCTCCTCCCTCGTCGTCGTCGTCGTCCGTCGTCGGCGTCTCTTCGTCGTCCTTCCTGTTTCGTCGCCATCGTCGTCGCCGTCGTCGTCGTCGTCGTCGTCGTCGTCGTCGTCTTCCCTCCTCCCTCGTCGTTGTCGTCGTCAGCGTCGCCGTCCTCCCTCCTTCTTCGCCGTTCGCGTCGTCGCCGTCCTCCCTCCTCCCTCGTCGCTGTCGTCGTTGTCGCCGTCGTCGTCCTCCCTCCTCCCTCGTCGTCGTCGTCGTCTGTTGGCGACGTCGTCGTCGTCGTCGTCGTCGTCGTCATCGTCTTCGTCGTCGTCGTCGTCGTCGTCCTCGTCGTCGTCGTCGTCGGCGTCTTCGTCGTCGGCGTCTTCGTCGACGTCGTCGTCGTCGTCGGCGGCGGCGTCGTCGTCGTCGTTGTCATCGTCGTCGTCGTCGTCGTCGTCGTCGTCGGCGTCGTCGTCGTCAGTGTCGTCGTCGGCGTCGTCGTCGTCGGCGTCGTCGTCGTCGGCGTCGTCGTCGTCGTCGTCGGTGTCGTCGTCGTCGTCGTCGTCGTTGTCGTCGTCGTCGTCGTCGAAGTCGTTGGAAACGCCGTCGGTGTCGTCGTAGTCGTCGGCGGCGTCGTCGTCGTCGTTGTCGCTGCCGTCGTCGGCGTCGGTGTCGTTGCCAAGTGCCAAGTGGTACCTACCGTCACGGTCTCAAGAGGTCTTGCGACCAAGTTGCGGGTGAGAGGGTGGGATGCTTGCACGAGCAAGGGAGAGGACAGCTTCAATTTGAGCAAATGATCGGATTCCACCACGTAGACTGCACCAAATTGATAGCATCAAATAGATTCTCGTTTCTAAACATAGAATAGACTCTACCCCCCCCAGACTTATCGGTTCCCCCTGGGATAGTTTAATTTCAAATCTGTGTATATATATATGTATATGTATATATATATATATAGTATGCACACTCGTCTATCCTAAATATGAAATCATACCATCCCAGCTAGGCCGGGTTCCCCCCCTGAGGTTCCCTTGTAAAAAAAACACTATGCGGTGGCATGTTTTGTTCTAACATAACACTTTTTTTGCGAATCCCTTGCATACAAAATGAGACGAAGTGCACACGCGCGCGTCGTCGCGCGCGCATGCCGAAATCCTTCAAAAACCTTCGGTGCGGGAAGTATTTCGCAATCGAGTTTCCAAAACACATGCAACAACACAAGGTTTCGCAACACAGAATTGCTAAACAAGCTTCCGCGAAAGCTCTTGCGAAATCTTAAGAAAACCATAGGTTTTTCAAGATTTTCACAAAATGCTACCAAACGGGCTTCGCGCGCGCTCATGTCGAAATCTGTCGAACGCCCTTGCGCGTGTGCAGTCGCGAGGGCCCCCCTGCAATACATGGGACGAAGTGCAGACGAGCGCGACGTCGCGCGCGTACGCCGAAAACTTTCAAAACCCATCGGTTTCGGAAGGATTTCAAAATCGTGTGTCCAAAAAACCTACAAAAACACAAAGTTTCGCAACACGGATTTTCAACAAAGGCGTGCGCGCGCGCTCTTGCGTCGTCGTCGTCGTCGTCGCTGTCCTCCCTCCTCCCGCGTCGTCGTCGTCGTCGTCGCCTACGTCGTCCTCTGTCTTTCCTCGTGTTCGTCGTCGTCGTCCTCTTTGGCGTCGTGGTCGTTTCCGTCGTCGTTGTCGCCGTGGTCGTCCTTCCTCCTCCTCCCTCGTCGTCGTCGTCGTCCGTCGTCGGCGTCTCGTCGTCGTCCCTCCTATTTCGTCGCCGTCGTCGTCGTCGTCGTCGTCGTCGTCGTCGTCCGCGTCTTCCCCCTCCTCGTCGTTGCCGTCGTCGGCGTCGCCGTCCTTCCTCCTTCTTCGTCGTTCGCGTCGTCCTTTCTCCTCCCTGTCGTTGTCGTCGTTGTCGCCGTCGTCGTCCCCCTCCTTCTCGTTGTCTTCGTTGGCGACGTCGTCGTCGTCTTCGTCGTCGTCGGCGTCGTTGCGTCGTTGTCGTCGTCGTCGTCGTTCGTCGTCGTCGTCGTCGTCGTCGTCGTCGTCGTCGTCGTCGTCGCGTCGTTCTCGTCGTCGTCGTCGACGTCGGCGTCGTCGTTATCGTCGTCGTCGTCGGCGTCGTCATCGTCGTCGTCGTTGTCATCGTCGTCGTCGTCGTCGTCGGTGTCGTCGTCGTCGTCGTCGTCGTTGTCGGCGTCGTCGAAGCCGTTGGAGACGTCGTCGGTGTCGTCGTAGTCGTTGTCGACGGCGTCGTCATCGTCGTTGTCGCTGTCGTCGTCGGCGTCGCTGTTGTTGCCAAGTGCCATGTGGTACCCACCGTCACGGTCTTCAGAGATTTTGCAAACCCAGTTGCGGGTGGGTGGGTGGGATGTTTGCGCGAGCAGTGGAGTGGACAACTCACTGCGAACAGAAATTGATTGCACCACGTAGATTGCACCCCATATATTGCACAACATATCTTGCACATCGTAGCACAGCACAGAGAATACACAACATTTGCTTGCATCGCGAAGATTGCACCACACATATGGCTCCTCGTATATTGCACCACGTAGAGTGCCCCGCATCGATTGCACCACGTCAGCGGCTAGTGGGATCAACGCTGGCAATTATTAGACTGCACCAGTGTAGTCTCTGTGCCATGGTCTCCGAAATATGAAACAAGCGTGAAATCCTGCTCTACGAGATCAACCCTCCGGCCAACGACATGATGATCAAGCTGAAGAAAGAACCTGACCAACGAGCAATAGAAACATGGAACCCTCCAGCACAAACCTGGGGCCATGCTGGCAGCACTCGCGCGGTTGCCGCTTAAACAATCGCTTGCATGCATCAAGCTACCGTTCCTGTCCCGCCAACTGCGCGCATGTGCCCATACAATCCGTGCATGCGGCGATTGTAAGATGAACAGAGTGCTCAAATTCGTGATGCAACAAAAAAACCTAGGTGCATTCGCGTTGAACAGGCAACACTGTACGATGCAACACCCGAGACCCAACGTCCCAACGAACAGCAAAACCGCTTCAACTGCTGCGTGGCAGAGCCAATGTGGCACTGACCTGCGCTGATCTGCGGCGGGAAGCGCTGACACCCGGCCGCCGGCACGCTCAGAGCCAATGTGGCACTGCCCTGTGCCGCTCTGCGGCGGGAAGTGCTGAAACCCGCTGCTTCTCCTGGCGAAGCCAGGAGAAGCAGCGGCATAAGCATGGACTCTCGGAGGTCCGCGCGGCCTTCGTGGATACAGTCGGGGCGTTGACCCAAGGAACCCTAAATAGGGAACGAGGCCCCTGTTTCCCTTAACTTAAACTTCGACTCCCCATGGAAGACCTAAGGAAAACCCAAGGCAAACTGTAAAACAATCAAGGAACACCGAGCTCCTCCCCAACGAAAAGGGTTCCTTAGTCAGCGCCCCGACTGTAGGCGCGGGCCAGCGCCACACTCCACAAGGCGCCCTGGACCTCTGACTCGGCCGCTGCCGCGTGCAGACCACCGGCGCGCGCAGAGCCAACCTCCATCAGAAGGGGTGGGAGGAAAGGGAGAAGAGGGAATGGGCGAAGAAGTGTGTGGGGGGACAAGAAGGAAAAAAAAGAAGAAATGAAGAAGAATAGACGAAGCCCGAAAAAAAGAAAGTAAAAAGCAAGAAGCACGAAGAAGAAGAAGAAAGAAAGAAGAAAAAGAAGAAGCAGAAAAAAGAAGGGAAAGAAGAAGAAAGAAGAAGAAAAAATATTAGAAAGAGAAGAAATGGAAGCAAAAAAGAAAAGAAGACGACGAAGAAGTAAGAAATGAACATGAAAAGAAGCAGAATGAAGAGGAGCGAAGAACGCCGAATAAGACGAAGAGGAGGAAAGAAACTAAGACGAATGAAAATAATAAGTAAGAAGAATAAGTAAGAAGAATAGAAATAACAATGACATAAGAAGAACGACAAAGACTAAGACCTCCAGCATACTAAGAAAGCCTACGTATACTACAAAATCAGAAGAATCAAGGAAGACCTCTGCCTCGCCTAATAAGCCAATGCCGTCCTCCGCAGCATAATAATCTACAGTACACGCCTCAGCTCATAAGCCTCCTCCAGCCTCATCTACTCCACCTCCCGACCTCCTACCTCATCCCTCCTTCCCCTCCCTCGCCTCCTCCTCCTCCTCCTCCCCCCCCTGCACGTGTTTTTGGCGGCGGTCTGCCACCGACCCCCCAGGGACGCAAGGGCACCCAAACCCACCACCGTCCTTGCCGGACGGGCGTTCCGCCGCGCAGCCGAAGGACGTCGCCCGCCCACAGGGTACCCTGGGGGGCTGGCCAGCGACAGCGGCGAAGGACGGGCCGCCGAGGCAAGGGCGCAAGGGTACCCTAAGGAACGTCGTGAGTCCTTACGATGGATTGTGACTGTAGCCGAACATGTCGCACCGTGGGCAACTTCGAGAGATGGCACAACCGGACAGTGCTCAGAACCCCCGCTCATCACCCTGGCCTCGCCCCGCCGACGAGATCCAGTTAGCCGCGCGCTCTCGCCCTCGCCGCGGCGGTGGCTTTGCGGAGGCATCTCCATGAGAAGTGCTTTACCTTGTTCTCAGAAACCCGCCGCTTCTCGGCTGGAGTGCAAATGTGACAAAACGGGCAAGAGTTACTATTTCTGCAGCCGCGCTTCACGAACAAGCAGGGGCGGCACCTATCCTCCGAGTGCAGAGTAGACCCCCATGTCGGACCTGCGTCAGAGCTGGTCTCCGCCACAGCATGCGATGTCATCAAATCAGTCGGAGAAGCCCCCGCTACGGGCGTGGGCCTATGCAGCGTTGCCATCGCACGGGCCAAACTGGAGCGAGCTTCCTGTACGATCGTGGCGCCAGCCTGACCGAGGTCATCGAGCAGGTCGTTGGTGGGCAGGCCATACTCCTCCAGGCTCTTCTCCAGGATGAGGTCTTCGAGAATCGACTTGATGACGGCCAGGTCGCCCTCTATCGTTTGCTCCTTCTCATTCTTCTCGGTGTCCTTCAGCCTCGTCTCCTCCCTCGAAGCTTCCACGGTGCTCGCCTCAGCGCAAAACCTCTCTGGCCTCTCGCGGACCACTGTCGGGTCCACAGGCTTGATGCCGATCGCGTCGAAGCCCATTCCAGTGGCTGCATCCTTCGCATAGGAGCCGGTGCCCAGGAGAGGTGCACCCAAACAGTCCTGCTTCAACCCCAGGCTCTCGGCGGTGCCCTGCGGCTCGCGGAGGGCCTCGACCAGGGCCTCGAGCAGGTGGAAGTGAACCACCTCGATGGACGTCGAGGGGCGCGTGGCTTGGCGCCTGGACTCCTCCTTGGGCGCCCAGAACGGGTACGGACAAAAGTGGGTACAGTCCACCCGTATCACAAGGACGCACGATAAGGGCGAAAGGGCCTTGGAAGGCCGCGTCGACGCTCTGCGTCCGGGCGCGGCCAGCGAAAGCGGCCAAGGATGGGCCGAAGGGAAAGGACGCAAGGGCGACCCTGGAAAATCGCTCATCCTTACTATGCGGGTTGACTGTACGATGTCCAACAACACACGCTGTCCAAAACCGATAGCGGTCACTCTTGTGCAGGCGGCCTTCTGTCTCAAATGGACCGTGTCCGCGGCGGTACCGACAGCTAGCCCTGTTCAACATGAGCAAAGAACCGCTGTCGGTGTCGATAAGCACGTGCGCGGCCCAGGGGGGGTGCAGGGAGACGTATTGAAACAAGAAGAGGCGCCATGAAATATGGGGAGCCCCCGCCATGATACTCCAGATTTCGTAATAAAAGGGCGGGGGTCTGGACCCTCCAATACAAGCCATTTCAGACCTCCCCCGTGGGAGAACCCTCCAAAACATCGTCCCCAGACCCCCCAGGCCCTCCAAGATAGCCTGGAAGAGACCCCCCCCGAAATGAGACCCCCCTCCCTTTATTACGAAATCTGGAGTATCCCCCCCCCCCCTCTAGTCATCACCCCCCTCTTGGCCGTCCCCGACATCTCGAGCGCCCCGATCCTCGAGCCGGACCGCCGGGCTGGCCGGCCCGCCCACGCAGGCCGCCACCGCCGCGTCCAGCCGCTCCTGGCCCACGCTGGCCTTCGGTCGGGCATGTCCCCGTGCAGGCGGGTTTGCAACGAACCACTTTTTTTTTGTCCCCCTCAGGAGTTCTCTTGTGGCCCGCGGGCCCCCTGGGCCACGGACGGTGAGCGATCTACACGCTTCCCGCGGCAGCTGGCCGATGCCAGGAGCCGACCGGCGGAGGAGGCCACGAAAAGGCGCGAGGCGGCGGCTATCAGATTAAAGGAGTGCTGCGGCGAAACCTGTGGATTGCCCTACCGGGTCAACCCGAACCTCAGATGAAGAAAGTGCCAACATCGGGCCGCAGCTAGGAGGCAGGAGATTCAAGAGGCGGGTTTGCAACGAACAACCAAAAATAATCAAACAATGCTCAAAAATCAATAGAAGTAGTCAGACAATCGTCCCCAGACTATGTTTGACTAGTCTTGAATAGGGTGGGGGCATTGAGTAAAGAAGCCTTGGATCAGGAAGCCAGGGTCTGGACGCCGGTGGGACTCCAATCGTGGATTAGCTGAGGATGTCACCGCCGCCCTCATCAATTGAGGAATCCTCCAGAGTCTGAAGCCTCCTGGGCGCATTCCTTAACCAACGCCCCCACCGTATTCCTCCTGGACAGGCCCGACTTAACGCCAGGCTGGATGGCCCGCCAACGCAGGCACCATCGCCGAGTCCAGCCGCTCCTGGCCCACACTGGCCCAGGCCTCCAGCCACTGCTCCCGAGATGGGCCCGTCGCGGCCAAGGCTGCGTCTGCCTGTGGACATCAGAAGGCACCGGCACTGCCACTTAGTGAGGGGGAGCAGAAGGAGGAGGAGGAGGAGGAGGAGGAGGAGGAGGAGGAGGAGGAGGAGGAGGAGGAGGAGGAGGAGGAGCAGGAGGAGGAGCAGGAGAGGCCTCCCATGGAGGCCCAGACAGGCGAGGGCGGGCGAGGGGCAGCGGCATGGGCACCTCCTCCTCCGACCGCCGCGCCGCCCCCGCCGCCTGCCGCTGCAGGCCTGGCGGGCCTGCGGCCAGGCGGGCGAGCGCCTCCGCGAGCTGCCGGCCCCGCCGCCGCGGCTCCCGCAGCGGCGCCCGCGGCCGCTCGCGCAGCTGCGCCGTGGACCCCTCCCGCTGCGCTGTCGGCGCGGGCCTGCCGACCGGGTCGTCGGCTTCGCCCTCGGCCGTGCGACGGCTGCCCGCGCCCTGGGGCGCGGCCACGGTGGCCTCTGCCGAGGAGGCAGCGTTTGGCGGTGCGTCCGGGCTCGCCAGCGCCTCCGCGAGGGCCGGTGGGGCTGCACCTCCGAGCGGCATCGCGGCGAGAAGTGTGGTAGCGCTGTATTTTCCTGGCCTCGCGCGTGCACCTGTACAAGGCAACAAAGTTGAGCCACAGCGACTGCGGAAGGGAACGGGAGGAGGAGGAGGATGAGGAGGAGGAGGAGGAGGAGGACGACGAGGTTTCTAGTGTCCTCGCCGTGGGTTATGAGAAGGGCTCGCTGGGGTTGTACAAGATTACAGCTTCCATGGGATTCTTTAGGCAGGGGAAGGATGAGAATGAGGGAAAGACTCATCGATGAAGAGGATGTCATGTGGTGGTGGTGGTGGGGAAACGTATGGAGGCAGGAAGCGTACGGGATGCACTATGTTCAATCTGCTTTGTATGGGTGTGGGGGGGAGTCTTGATCGTTTTAGCTGGTTCTATGTGTCTCTAGGGGTCGGCGAAGCAGCAAAAGGCGGATGAGGGAGAAGAGGAGGAGGAGGAGGCAGATGAGGAGAGGGGGGGAGGCTTATTCGAAGCCCTCGCTGTTTTGTTAAAAGGGCCTGGGGGGGTTGGTCTGTTCGGATGCTTCTGCGGGTGCACTTGGGAGGCTGACAATGCGGATGAGAATCAGAATGCGGATGAGAGGGAAGGAGGGCCAAACTAAGAATCCCCAGATGCACGAACGATGCGCGAACGCTGCTGCGCCGACTCGCACGTCCCAGGCCCCCCCCCTCGTGGACCCCCACGGAGACTCCCGGCCGGCACGGGCAGCGGCCCCCTGCATGCCGAGGCCAGGAGGGCCTGCCTCTTTAGGCGATGCCCCACGCTGCAGGGGATCCGCCCTCCGTCTCTCGCCAGCTGCAGGAGACGCCAAGAGATAGGCTGGGGCCGTTCGAGGAGATTGAAGGGGCCCTGGGACACGCAAACAAATACACACACATAAAAGGGTTCCCCCTATGTTCCCATATTTTCTGGGCTTTTGTCTTCGCCCCCACATCTCATATTTCCCCTATGTTTTTCCTTGGAATATCGACAATTCAATGTGCCTGTGTTTTGTCCCCTCCTGGGAGATGTCCCGCGGCGGCCCCCCGGTCCCGAAGGTGGTGCGCAGGCCAATCCCCGCGCGAGCGTGGCAGCGCTTTCGGCGTTCTGGTCGTACAGGCTGGCGGCGATCCGAAGCGAGGGCCCGCTCTTGAAAAAAGCCGCGAGGAGGAGGAGGAGGAGGAGGAAGAGGAGGAGGAGGAGCGTCCTCCGTCCTTCGCAGAGGGCATCTGTACACCACCACGGTGCCAAGGCAGGGCCATCCTGGGCCCAAGGATGGTGTGTACGCCCTCCTTGCCGAGGTCACGAGGGTCTATACACCATCCTGGGGCCCAGAATGGCCCTGGCCTGGCACGGTGGTGGTGTATAGATGCCTTCGTCGGACATCCGTGCAGACGCTGCACATCTTAGATCTTCGGACCTCAGAGAACGGGAGTCGCAATCGAGAAGCGCACTGTGACCACGAACTGTCCTCCGTCCTTGTAGCTGTGGGCTTCGAAGAACGGGATCGCGCATAGCTAGGTCAGAACATCTTTTTGGAAACGACAAGCCCCTCCTCGCAAATTGTAGGAAATTTCAAAAGAATTGCTCGCGGCGGTCAAGCGAACGCCGCATCTTGGAGACGACACTGTTTGAACTGTTCAAGACGAATGTGCGCGGTGCTAAAGCGAAAACCGCATTTTGGAAATGACCTGCCTTCTGTACTTGTGACTGCTGGAGACTGTTCTGAGCGTCGCGATCGTAGGATGCAATGACGTCTGAAGCAAAACGCCCGACCCAGCCTACGGACACGGCAGGTTGTGCGACAGGAGCGAGTTTAGAAGGAGGAGGGATGGTGGCGAAGGAGGGGGACGAGACTCATGGAGGTGAGAAGGAGGATGAACAACGATCTGCTCATAATATGTAGAACATGTGCCGGCAATGTTTGGATGGATTGATCACTGTCGGTAAGTTCCCAGGAGAAAGGGAGGGGGACGACGATGAGGAGCAAGAGGTGAAGGACGACATCGATGATGACGACGAGGGTGCCCTCCCTCTTACCTCCTCCCCCTCAAGCTTCCTCCTCCACCGTCTCCGCCGAAGTATCCGCTATTGCGCTTGCAGCGGGTAGGGGTGATTGTAGGCGTGTCGGCATTTGTTTGATTGTTGTTCGTTTCGCTTCTCCCGAAGCAATGATTCCCCCCAGCGCATAAAGCAAAATAGGGTTTGCTTCCTATGAGTTCTTGCCATAATCCCTACCTAGGCTCTGCCTAGAAGGGTTCTTACTCGGTGTGCTTAAAGGGCCGGGCAGTGGAACGCGCCCCGGGCGGTTCCCCCACTATCCGCCCCGCAGTTCCCCCAGTTACGTCCCCTTAGCTTAGCGTTGCTTATCTCATCTTAGCTTAGCTTATTTCATCTTATCTTAATTTAGGTTCATCTTAGCTCAGGCTTATCTTAGCTAGCTTACCATCATCTCAGCTTCGTTGAGCTGTAGCATAGCGGAGCACAGCATAGCATAGCGTAGCATAGCATAGCGCAGCACAGCATATCATAGCCCAGCATATAACAGCATAGCGCAGCACAGCATAGCATAGCGCAGCACAGCACAGCATAGCACAGCGCAGCATAGCATAGCATAGCATCGCATAGCATAGCGCAGCTTAGCATATCATAGCATAGCATAGCTTAACATAGCACAGCGAAGCATGGCATAGCACAGTTTAGCATATCATAGCATAACATAGCATATCATAACGCAGCATAGCATAACATAGCATAGTATAGCATAGCATCGCGCAGCATAGCATGGTATAGCATAGCATAGCATAGCAACTAATGCTGCCTTCCTAGGGGCTCCAACTTCTAGGCAGGGTCGCACTGGGGTAATTTGCCTTCTAAGCAGAAGCTTGTGGCCAAATCCACCGACCCCTCGGCGTGTGTGAGACGCTGTCGTCGTCTTTGTCGTCGTCGTCGCCAGTCCCAAGAAAATGGACGAATGAACGGAAAAAGAAAACGTCGCAGTTAAGTCGATTCCCTTCCCTTTCTCCCGTCCCTGACGGGGGGGGTCGGGGGAAGGTAGGGGGGAATGAGGGAGATAGGAGGGGGAGGGGGGTGGTAGGTGGGGTGGGTAGGAAGGGGCCCCGGGTCAGATTACAACCCCCCGACGGAGGTCCCCCGGGGTGGTCTCAACTGTGGACAGGGGGGACAGGGACCCTGACCTTCCAGGAGGGCTATCAAATAGCACCAGGACCTCGACACCTCCATTCCTGTCGAGGCTTCAGGCGGCCCAGATAGGCCTGTAGGTCTGGAGGGAGGGCCATCTTCTAGCACCCTGGGAGGTCACAGGAAGGGCCCCCCCTCTGCGGGGGGGCTGGCCCCGGCCCCCCGGCCCCCGGCCCCGGCCATGGCCGTGGTGGCCGTGGCCACACAGCTCTGGCCCAAGCCGTGGCCCCGGGGTCCTGGGAGGGGACCCCGGGGTCCTGGGGGACCCTGAGGCCCCGGCGTTGCACCTTTTTCGGAACCGGCGTCTTCGCTCCATTTCGGGCCCCGGGACCCTCACGGATCGATCCGCCTCGAAAAATGAAGAGGATGGATGGGGTCCGGAGCTCTGCAGGTGGGGTCCGGAGCTCCGGTGGTGGGATGGGGTCCGGAGCTCCGGATGGCGTTCCCCTATGGACTGGCGGCTTGACCACCCTTCGGGTGATCAGGTGGGTTGGGGGGGGGAGAAGCCAGCACCTCACTCAATCGATCTCGCTATCGATCCCGCGACCGATCTCACTATGGATCCTACTTCCCGTCTCGATCGGAATCATAAACATGAGCTTTCGGAACACCGTGCAGGTTTCTTGGATCCGCGCTGGTCCCCCCTGCCTGGCGCGCGGAGCGCGCCAGGGGCGGCGCTGGAGGCGCCGCCAGGGGGACGGAGCCCGATCAGAGGAATCCGTGCAGACGTCCGAGTGTTTATGTTCATGTCGCTGTTCCTTCGCCTTCACGATGAGTCCAGAATGGCCCCAAGAGAGCCCCAGAACTGGTCCAGAACTCCTCAGGACGGCACAAGGCTGACCCTGGTAACCTCAGTAAGTCTTCAGTTTTGCTCCCACCCGCCCTGCTTCACTCGGCGGGTTCTACATATCGTCCATCCTCTTCCTCCTGCTGCTCCTCCTCCTCCTCCTCCTCCTCCTCCTCAAGCTCCTCCTCCTCCTCCTCCTCCTCCTCCTCACTACTCTTCTCCTCCTCCTCCCCCATTCTTCTCATCCTCTTGCTCCTGCTCCTCCTCCTCCTCCTCCTCCTCCTCCTGCTCCTCCACCTCCTCTACTGCTACTATTGTTGTCGTCGTCGTTGTCGTCGTCGACGCGGAATTTACAAATCACCCCGCAATTGCGGATAAGAGTGAGGGGGCGGGCGCGGGCGACGCGGGCGTGGAGCTGGCGGACCTCGTGGCCCTCACCTTCCCTGTCGATGGCGCCCTCCTCCTCCTCCTCCTCCTCCTCCTCCTCCTCCTCCTCCTCCTGTTCCTGCTCCTGCTCCTCCTCCTCCTCCTCCTCCTCCTCCTCCTCCTCTTCCTCGTCCGCGTCCTCGTCCTCATCGTCGTCGTCGTGCTCTGGCAAGTTTAGCGCGGGTGGGGGGGTCGCTGGTGGGCCACCCGGAACGAATGCAAAAACAGCCCGCCGCAGGGGCCGAAGTTCTGGCTTGTTCAGTAAACGTAGTTTGGGTCGCGGGCTCTCCACCTCCATCTGGAAGGAATTCCAAAACAGCCCGCCGCAGGCGCCGAACATTTTGATTTGTACACTGAACGCGGTTTGGGTCGCAGGTTTTCCACCTGGAACGAATGCAAAAGAAACCCGCCGCAGGCGTCGAGTATTTCGGTCTGTTCACTGAACGTAGTTTTGGTCGCGGGTGGGTCGCGGGCCCTCCACCTCCATCTGGAAGGAATTCCAAAACAGCCCGCCGCAGGCGCCGAACATTTTGATTTGTACACTGACCGCGGTTTGGGTTGCGGGTGGGTCGCGGGGTGGGTCGCGGGTGGGTCGCG